GTAATTGTATTGAAACAATTTAATGAAAATATTAAATATTTGGTTTCAAAAATGCAGATTAATTTATTTCCCTCCCCCAACATTGTATTATTTCTGATACTTTTGAGAAACCTATATAAGAAAGAAAAAAAAAAAGAATTGAGCTCACTTTATATGTTGACTTTCTTACGGCTTTATCCTAGGTACTTTGCTCATTAATAAATGTATGCCATGAGAATGAAGATGATCTTTAAATGGAAAGTATTTGTTCATTAACTCTGCTACTTATTAACTGTGACTTTTAACAGGTTACTTAGTCTGCTCTTCAGTTTCCTTGGTTTTAAAAACAGGGATAATAGTTCCTTCATAGGCCTCTTGTGAGGATTAAATGCATTAGTAAATAAAAAGATTTTTATTTTAGATTTTTTTGCATTGGGACTGGCTGGTTAGCTCAGTTGGTTAGAATGCAGTGTTACAACATCAAGGTCAAGGGTTCAAATCCTTGTACAGGCCAGCAGCAAAAAAAAAAAACCTCTTAAGTCAATGTTTGGTAAACACTATGTAAGTATTAACCATTGTTCCTGTTGTGAGTGCTCCAGAAATAGAGTTGGCCCTACGATTAACTGAATATTCACGAACATTGAGTGGTATGGAATCCTACTGTGTTCGTGCATTTGCAGATGCTATGGAGGTCATTCCATCTACACTAGCTGAAAATGCTGGCCTGAATCCCATTTCTACAGTAACAGAACTAAGAAACCGGCATGCGCAGGGAGAAAAAACTACGGGCATTAACGTCCGAAAGGTAATAATTTTTAATTATTGCAGAAAATGTGGATTAGGGGCCAGCCCGGTGGCGCACTCAGTAGAGTGCGGTGCTTGGGAGCGCAGCGGCACTCCCGCCGAGGGTTCGGATCCCATATAGAGACCGGTCCGCTCTCCGGTTGAGCACAGTGCGGGCGCGACACTGAGGGTTGCAATCCCGTTACTGGTCACGAAAAAAGACAAAAAGGAAAAAAAAAAGAAAATGTTGATTAGTATTAAGACAATAAAAACTTTGTAAGTGTCTATTGAATAGAAAACTTTGTAGTTGAAAGTAGCATAATCTTGGGTTTAAATATGAGACCTGCTGCAGGTTAATAAATGTATGCCATGAGAATGAAGATGATCTTTAAATGGAAAGTATTTGTTCATTAACTCTGCTACTTATTAACTGTGACTTTTAACAGGTTACTTAGTCTGCTCTTCAGTTTCCTTGGTTTTAAAAACAGGGATAATAGTTCCTTCATAGGCCTCTTGTGAGGATTAAATGCATTAGTAAATAAAAAGATTTTTATTTTAGATTTTTTTGCATTGGGACTGGCTGGTTAGCTCAGTTGGTTAGAATGCAGTGTTACAACATCAAGGTCAAGGGTTCAAATCCTTGTACAGGCCAGCAGCAAAAAAAAAAAACCTCTTAAGTCAATGTTTGGTAAACACTATGTAAGTATTAACCATTGTTCCTGTTGTGAGCACCCAGCCCATGTGGTCATGTAGGGTAAACACATAAAACAATAATAATGTTTCCTTTTTTATTAATGTTTTATTGAGGAGACAAATATATGCTAGGAAAAAACTGACAGAGATATTTTTTGAATGGTACAGAACTCCAAAGGCTGGTACTACCTGATTAGGGAAAGCCTCATGAAGATGCAACTTTGGTTTGGAGGGGATGAGGAAATTTCAGATGGAGAAGGAATGGTTTACAGATGAGGGACCAAGAAGTTATTCCGCCTATCTAGAGCAGAGGTTATATGGACTTTAACATTGGGAAGATCAGATAAAAGCTAGGATGGGGGCTGGCTGACTCATTAACTCAGTTGGTTAGAGTGCAGCCTATGACACCAAGGTCATGAGTTCGGGTCCCTGCACTGGCCAGCCGTCAAAAATAACAAAGCTAGAATGATGTGGTCCTTTGATCCTTTAGTATTAAGGCAAGCTTTTTTTTTTTAAAGATGGCCGGTAAGGGGATCTTAACCCTTGACTTGGTGTTACCAGCACCACGCTCTCCCAAGTGAGCCACAGGCTGGCCCACCACTAAAGTTTTTTAAGCAAGAGGTTAAGGTGATGAAAAGAGTATTTTAAGGAGGGAAGACTAGAGGCAGGGATGCCTGTTACTGCTTTCAGCAGTGATCTGGGGGTAAAGGAGAGTAGAATAGTGCAATAAAGAATTTAAGGTGAGAAATGTGAGAGATATAAAGGAAGAATAGATAAAATTTAGCCTAATTCAGAATTGAGATTCAGAGATGATTTAAGCATATAGATCTCATAAATTTTAACTACTATGATCTATAATTTTTCCAAGATATATTAAAATAATTCATTCTTAGCAGAAGAAGGTTTTGGAATTAGGATTGGGGGAATCCAAGCATTAGTTCAGTTTTTCCAAATATTAGTTGAACTGCAATCTACAATGTAGAGAAGAGCTTAAAAGATTATATTATTTTAATGTACCTAGACCAAGGGAAAATTAGGTTTGAAGAGGTCTTGGGCACACTGGTGACAATGTAGTTGTTGATGTGCATAATTATAAACACTGAAGGCAACTTGTGCTGATTTACAGGGTGGTATTTCCAACATTTTGGAGGAACTGGTTGTTCAGCCTCTATTGGTTTCAGTCAGTGCTCTGACTCTAGCAACTGAAACCGTCCGGAGCATTCTGAAGATTGATGATGTGGTAAGTATACATAGGTTGCAAATTTCCCTACAAGGTTAAAAGGCATATATTTTGAACTTTTTAGATTTATTTTTTGTTTATTTATTGAACGTTTATTTTTGATAAATGTTGTTTGCTAGGCATCAAAGTGATAACAGTTCATATTGGGATAATTGCCTTAAACATCTTCCAACCTTAAGATTCTGTCATTACCTAAGTTTTTTTCTCTTATCAGGTAAACACTCGATAATCTGTATAAAAGTGGCTGACTGGCACCATTATGCCCATCTATGCTGTGGCTAGAGTGGAAGAAGATCACGTTTGTGTTCCTTGTTGTTTGTAAGGTTATTTCCTGTAAGAATTCCTGGGCTTGGTTTTCCAGTGGCATTTGCCTGTAATTGTATTGAAACAATTTAATGAAAATATTAAATATTTGGTTTCAAAAATGCAGATTAATTTATTTCCCTCCCCCAACATTGTATTATTTCTGATACTTTTGAGAAACCTATATAAGAAAGAAAAAAAAAAGAATTGAGCTCACTTTATATGTTGACTTTCTTATGGCTTTATCCTAGGTACTTTGCTCACCTTGTACTCTATGTAGGCATTTACCCATTTTATTGATGTAAGTTTTTTAAAAAACAAGTACTTAGTAGAAGAAAATGCCCCAATATGCTCCTTATCAATAAAAGCCCAGTGGCATAAAAAACATCAGTGTGTAGAATATATGCTGTTTCAAAAGTTAGCAATACAGCACCACACTCTCCTGAGTGAGCCACAGGCCGGCCCAAAAGTTAGCAATACAGAAAGATACAAAGTGAAAATTGAAAGCCTCCCTTTATTATCCTAATCCATTTCCTCAAGAATAACCGCTGTTAATTGAGATTGCTTCTACAAAAAAGGTGTATGCATATATGTAGCAAATCTAAAACAAAAGGGATTCTTATTTTTTGGTGGCTGGCTGATATGGGGATATGAACCCTTGACCTTGGTCTTATACCACCACACCAACCGAGCTAACCAGCCAGCCCCACAAGGGATTCTTAATAATGTCTTGTTCCAGTGGTTTTTAACATCTTAATTGCCACCGCCCTTATCCAAACATTGTATTCTGACCATGAATAGTATAAAATCTCCTAACGAGTCTGTGACCTTGCTTTAGCTACCTACCATTCTCTTCATGCATTGTAGCTAGTGATTTTTAAAAATTTGTTCGGCATTCCCAATATAAATGCTTTCATGCTTTTGGATAAAGGCAATAAAGTGGACCGCAGGTTTGGTCTACACAATCTGGTGCCTCACCCACCTCTTTGGTTGTTTCACGAGGAGTGTGTTTAAAGCAATTGGGTCCCTCCTTAGCATTTGTGGAGAAAGAATTTCAGCCAACCAGTCTGAAGTTCCTTCTGTATCACAGAAATCAAGTAGTTAACTAATTTGGTAAATGGTAAGTCTAATGTGATAGGGATTTCTGGATTGTCTGGAAGTTAGTAGTTCAGTTTCTTCCTCATTTCCATAGAGTTTGTGTAAAATAGGCTAGTCCTAGCTACCATAAAACAGTTGAATCAAGGATATTCTAAAAACTTCTAAGTCAAAATACTTCTATAATCCACATTATTTATATTGGAATGTTTATCATTTATTCAGCACAAAGTTTTGTGTCTTATGCTGTACCTAACTATACAAATATATATAGCAAAATTCTTAAAGAGACCTATTCCAAGGCAAGTGTTTTCTAACCACTGATTCTGTTAAATTTGGTATAAACTAAATGACTAGTGACTTGTTTAGGGTTTGACTTGGGTTTTACAACAGTTTACAGTGTAATCTTCTAACTATACAAATATATATAGCAAAATTCTTAAAGAGACCTATTCCAAGGCAAGTGTTTTCTAACCACTGATTCTGTTAAATTTGGTATAAATTAAATGACTAGTGACTTGTTTAGGGTTTGACTTGGGTTTTACAACAGTTTACAGTGTAATCTAAGCCAGTTCTATTTTGGGGACTGGAAGAGCAAATGAGAAAGCTGACACACAGGAGAAATTTATATAGTTAAATAATTCTAAAGCAATGAAAGGGAAATGTATCCTGTTAAACATTTTAAAGGTATGCTATTAATAAATAATTGAAAGGGATATGACTATCCTAAAGGTCAGAGGTTTTATGTGCTTTTTTTGAGTGCTATTTGTTCCTTACCCTCAATTTTATTTTTATGAAAATTTTCTGAGCCGGCCCATGGCTCACTTGGGAGTGTGTGGTGCTGATAACACCAAGGCCACGGGTTCGGATGCCTATGTAGGGATGGCTGGTTAGCTCACTTGGGAGAGCCTGGTGCTGACAACACAAAGTCAAGGGTTTAAGATCCCCTTACCGGTCATCTTTTTTAAAAAAAAAACAAAACTTTCTTACTAATATGTAGGAAAGTTTAAAGAATAGTATAAGCATTGTATACCCTCCACTGTATTTAACAATTATTGACATTTTGCCATATAGTCAGTTCTGTAACATGACATGCACCTGGAAGTCACCATGGTATGCAGTATTGTGCAGTGGAAACCAGAGGACTTAGGGGGAAAATGTGGTTGGGGCACAACACTGAAAAACTTCAGTGACACAGAAGGAACCTAATAAAAATGATAGTAGTTTTACATGTCAAATGGTTAAGAAGTACTATATTAAATATAGTAACTTACATTGAAAAACAACTGAAACTTGCTTGTGAAAGTGGGTATTGGGGGGCCAGCCCGTGGCTCATTTGAGAGAGAGTGATGCTGATAACACCAAGGCCAGGGGTTTGGATCCCTATATAGGAATGGCCAGTTAGCTCACTTGGAGAGCATGGTGCTGACAACACCAAGTCGAGGGTTAAGATACCCTTACCATTCACCTTTAAAAAAAAAAAAAAAAGTGTTGATAGGGCCGCACCTCTTATTGAGAAGCAGTAG